AATTATAGGTAAAAATATACCTGAAATTATTGATCATTGTCAACCATTAGATTTAAAAAAAAAAAAAACATTGATATAATATAATTTCGGAGAATATACTTTTCATAATACGACAGAATCGCTATGCATCAGAGTGAGAAAACAATACATATGTTCTGTCCTCTTTCCACTATACTGTTCAGTCGACCGTGAAAATTTATGACTTCTTCCGTTTCGCGGACCTCTCACTCCTTCTCGGATCTCTCACTCGGCGGCGGACTTCAATCAAAGAAGTGGGGATAAAAATTTGCTAATTTCGAGGCTCGAAACTGTTGCTTGTTTCGAGGCAATACTGTACTTTCGGCACGTAAGGTCTGATATTATTTTTTATCACATCTCCATACAAACATCTATCTGAACCTTCTACAAGTATTTTCTGAAGGTTCCATTTGTTGGAATTCGCGGATATTATATTTTTTTACTCGTCGTCTTGCGACTGCGCTAGTATTAATTCTTCCGTCGTAATGACAACTGGTAATTCTATTGTTTGTATTCTAGAAAACGCGTCGGCTACAATATTTTTGTCGCCTTCTACGTGTATTTTTATCGCCTTCTACGTAAACGATCTTTGTCGTGAATTGGCTTATGAAGTCCAATTGTCTTAATTGTCGCGGGCTAGCTTTATCGGCTTTTTGCTGAAATGCATATATCAACGGCTTGTGATCCGTTTGTATATGCATCTCTCTGCCTTCTACAAAGTGTCTAAAAAACTTAATACTTTTATAAATGGCCAAGAGTTCTCTATCACATACGCTGTACCTTACTTGTGTCTTATCTAATTTCCTAGAGAAGAAACCGAGCGGTTCCCATTTACCGTCACTAAATTGCTCCAACACTGCCCCTGCTCCAACGTCCGATGCGTCTGTGCGCAGCGCCAACGCTGTATTCTCCTTCGAGTAATGCAGAAGGGAAGCGTTAGCTAGGTGTTTCTTTACCTCCTCGAACGCCTTTTCGGATCCATGGTCCTAACAAACCGGCCTCCTGTCCCTTTCTTGGCTCCTTTCAGAAGCTTGTACAGAGGGTCCAGCCATTCCGCGGCGTGAGGAAGGAACCTGCGATAAAAGCCAATTACGCCAATGTATCTACGGAGATCGGCTAGCGTCTCCGGCTTCGGGTAGTTTTTAATCGCTTGTCCAGCGAAGCGATTCCCTTATCACTAATCTTACATCCTAAATACTCTACACTACTTTCCGCAAATTTACATTTTGAAATATTTATTACTATCCGTTTTCTCGGAGTTTATCGAACAGCGCGCGCAGATGTTTCTCGTGTGTCTCTAAATCGGAAGACGCTACAATTATATCGTCGATATAACATTGACAAAAATCAAGGCCATGCAATATCGTGTCCATCAGCCTCTGAAAGATTTGGGCGGCATTACACAATCCGAACGACATTACCGTGAACTCGTACAAACCGAATGGGGTGATTACCGCGGTCGTCTCTATATCCTCAGGTGCTATGGGCACTTGGAAATAAGCACGCGATAAATCAATTTTTGAGAATATCTTACTTCCGTTGAACCTATGCGCCATATCATGTATATGTGACAACGGATATTTATTCGGTTTTGTAATGCCGTTCAGAAGACGCGACGGTAGTCCCCACAAGGTCGCCAACCGCCAGTCCTTTTCGAAACCATGTGCAATGGACTCGCCCATTGACTCGTTGAAGGGCGGCAAATGCCTTCTCTGACCACTTGCTCAAACTCCGCCCGAGCTATTCTCAATTTCTCGGGAGACAGGCGTCGCGCTCGCTCAGCGAACAGGGGTCCGGATGTGACTATTTCATGACACACTTTATGTTTTATATTTCTCTGTACAGTAGGTTTAGTGATATCTACATATTCTTTTAATAACGAATTAAATGTATTGCCCCGTCTACTGTAGATATTGATGGGACATCGGTCCTACGGAGTGTCATATTTCTATGTATTTGAATATTGCTGTCTAATACTCTTTAACCGACTTCGAAAAAGGAGGAGGTTACTCATTTCGATCAGTATATTTTTTTTTTTTTTTAAATTATTATTATTATTTTTATTTTCTATGTGTGCCCGCCTATTACGCCTAGCTGGATGCACCGATCGGAACGAAACCTTTTGCATC